CCTGCTGAGTCTACAACAATTTGGAATAAATTTTCTTAAGACACAACAGATCCCCACTGAAAGGACTTTATATCCCCATATCCATGTACCTTCACTTTATTCTTTTTTTTCTTTCTAGTCTATTTTCATTTGCTTCAAAAGACTTCCCCAAAACATGCTGCTTTTAACATGGTGTCTAATGTCTCTGAGCAAAAAGGGAAAACGTAGCTCATGGGATTGGTGTGATGCAGACACTTTTTTTTTCCTCGGGCCTGTATAAAGAACTCCTTTTTTTCAGTTTTTTTTACTGATATCTCCTTTTTTTTTTGGATTACCTGGTAGGCAGGCTTCTCAGTTCCCATGGAATGGAAGGTAGAATTTAGCTTGAACCAAGATTACCTTCCCATCTACAAATCATACAGACTAAGTCTTTTTGCTGCAGGGTCAGTAGAGACTATTCAAACTGATCCTGACACACAGGGGCCATAGGGTGATGTGCATTTGTATCAGTAAATGATGCACTAGAAGTGAAGGCATTCTGTGCTGTGCTTGCTGCAAGGGGGAAATAGAGGCCCTCTACAAAATGACCACCTCCCACCCACAGTGGGGCACAGCAAGCAAAGCTGCAGCCCTCCTCTACTCCCCCACGAACGAGGTTGTCAGCTAGCATAGGAGTGGTACCAAGCTTCCCCATTGCAAGTAGAGCTGTAGCCTTTGGTCCCGGATGAGCAGTAGCTCTGCTGACTGCAGGCAAGTCTAGTCCTGGTTCAGTGACAGCCTGGTGCTGGGAGGAGGGGTGTGGGGAAGTGGGCAAGTTTTGCTTTCTTAAAGCTTCACCCACTTTCCTCCTCCCTCTGCTATTTTGAGATCAAGGGGGTGCAAAGGATTTTTTATGTATATGTACTTTGTCGGTGTTTTAGTGTGTACCTCAAGCAGCTCATCTGAGGCTTTTGCCTTAACAGTACCTGGCCTCATGGCAGGTATAAATGGTCCCTGCATACTTCAACACCATGACCACAAAGGCGGTCCTTCCTAGTTGCTGAGGGCAACCGCTTTTCTGGCAAGGGGTAATACCTGGGTGGAGGTAATGTATATTTAACCTCTCACTTTCACTTCCATTAGGAAGATCTTGGCTTTACACCCACTTTATGGAAATGGGAGATTTCTTCCTAGCTTGCTCCTGTGGGCTTGAGCCTGCACGTAGGATGCCCACCAAAGGATTTGGAAGCATCTGAAGCCCCAGGTAGAGGTGGAGGATGTTTGCTGGCAGTATGACCACATATGGTTCTTGAATGACTCATGGATTTGGAATTGATTTGGCTGATTTGACTTGGAACATGAAAAATTTTCCTCTAAAAAAAATAAATAAAAATCCTCCAACAAACAGGTCCATGCATACTTTCTGCTCTTCAGTTTCCTTTACTTACCTTGCCTTGAGATGGAATATACTTACCAGCATGTTTGCAGCCTGCATTTTTGAATGGATGGGTTCTGGCTTATACATATGGTGTGACTGGTGATTCTTAGATGCAGTGCATCTCCACTGACTGTTACTGTATGTAGACTGGAATAAGAGTGGTTTACCCAAAAAAAAGGGGGAAAAAAATCTCTTTTTACAGGTATTTATGATCCTAGAATATTATAGGAAAACAATCCCTGTTCCGGGGAGGGAATCTGCGCCACGTCAGATTGTTGTTGTTGGAACTCGTTGGAATAAACATATAGAACATGTAACAAGAGAGTTCATGAATGATCCTTATATTGTGATAACATCTGTGGAAGAAGCATGCATATATGGAAATGTTCAACAGGTAAAAATCCAGGAATTGTGCTTTTTTCCCCTGAGTTATGTACTTTGTGTTCTGTAGAGAGGTGCTGCTTATATACTTTTTGCAGTGTTTTTTATAGTTGGAATGAGCTTAGTTTTTATATTTGAACGTTTATGGGATATTTCACCATTTTTTATTATGCTTATAGTTTAATCACAGTCAAGAATGCCTGAACTAGTGATTCTCAACCAGAGTGCCCTTCCAGCCTTACTTTCTACAATTCTAAGGGCACTGACAGACGTGGGGAGGGGAAGGAACAAAAATGCGCTTCACTGGAAGAAGCAGCGCATTAGTTTGACCTAGGTCTGTAGCATCTGTATAGATTGGGCACTTCAGTGGGGCTTTTTGGGGTTTTTATCCAAAGCGATTCAATCATCTATTAGATAAAAGCGCCAAAAAAGCCCCAGTAAAGTACTTCATCTATACAGGGGTTGGGTGAGCCAGGTCCAACTAACGTGATGCCTCTTCTGAGCATGTGTTGGGCTCAGTGCACAGGCGTATGGCATTTGAAGTGCTATTTGTTGGGGGGGAGGGGCGGGTTTATGTTTGTCAGTGCCCTAAGTAATGCACATCATCCCAAATAAGCATCAGGTATATGTAATTATGTACTATATATACCACTTTTGTTACAGCGCAATTATTCCAGATGTACTAGATTGATAAAGGAATATAAAAAAATATTTCCAACTTTTTTTTTAAAACTATAAAGTCAGGTGTCATAATTACCATGAATCCCAGCACTTCATGGTATACTACAAAAAATTCTACACCTAAAAAGGTCATGAGATTAAAATCTCATGTGTTTATCACTTCCAGCCAAGCAAAGTACTAAGTGCAACTAAATATGTCTACTTTCCAGTGATACAAAGCTCAAATCAGATCAGACTGGGAGATACTAGACTTTAAAGTTGTGACATTTTAGTTAATTAAAGAAAATAGTCTTCTTTTTGACTAGACATATTTTTGGGTGCAGAGAGAAGAATTTTTGTACTAGGCTTGATTTTTAAATGGCAGTTTTTTAAAGTGACCATAGGAGTTGGGGTACAGTCTCTGAATTGGAACTTCTCAGAACTTAAATCAATGTTTTTTATCTTTGTTAGACTTAAGGCATCCCTCAGAAAATGCTGGCTCTTATTTTTCCATAGTCAAAAAATTGAATGAAAACTAATGGAGCAATTCTTTTGTTGCAGAGAACTCAAAAAGATCATAACAGGTCAGAATGTTTTAGCACCATGGATTAGTATTTGAAATATCAGAGTGTATCATATTTGTGTACCTAAACAGTACTAACATTGCGTAGCACCTTGTGGCACCCTTGGAAGAATCTCAAGGTGTCTCAGGGTTCTGCAGCACCCTGGTTGAGAAACATAGCCTTAATGATGGAGGCTGCAAGTGGGAGGGGAACAGGGGAAAAACCCTTGTCATACCCTGTTCATATTCCCTTTCAGCATCCACTCTCTGCCACTGTGAGACCCACAATACTGAGCAAAATGGACCTAGGGTCTGACCTAGTAAATGGCAGTTCTTATGTTTTCGAGTAGATGTGTGAAATCTTCAGTAGAAGACCCTATTAAAATAGAAAAATCTTAGGTTTTGTTAAACTTTGTAATATGATTTATAATCTAATCTTGCCTGAATGTCATATGTATACATGTTGAATTTTTCATCTGTTTTCTATAATAGATTGCTTTATGTTTACAACAAGCACATCTTTGCATGCAGACATAAGTGGCTACTTTTTTTTTTTTTTTGAGAGAGAGAGAGAGAGAGAGAGCTAGCCCCTGAAAGCGCTCTGCAGCTGTGGCATAACACATGGTCTGTCAGAGGGAAGGGAGGGGGAGGGGGAGAGAGCTCCTGACTTCTGAATGGTCCAAGCTATAGGGTGTGGGGAACAGAGCCCCCTTGCTTCGTGAGCCTCCCCCACCCCCCAGTTATCCTGGCTTGGGTTTTGGGGGGAGCTGGCTTGGGCCTGTAAGGTGAAGGGGCTCTGTTCTTTCCCCCCCACCCCCAGCTCTAGCCACAGAGTAGCCAGTGTTTGTTGCATTTGGGGGAGCTAGAGTGGGGGGCTCTAACTCATGGTATGTAGAAGACTAGCGTCTGTGCGTGCCCTTTTATTTAGAGCTGCATGCGGCGTTATAACTGGCATTACTAGTTATGTTTTTTGATTCTGATGGTGTAATTGCAGTGTATAAATGCAATGTACTTATGAAGATTCACTGTAGTAAAATGACAGGATTTTTTTGTCCCAGTTAACTTAATTTTGTCACTTTTAACAGGTAGTGCACCTTTCTTTGAATTGTGACAAAATCTCTGTACTACTCAGGATATTGGATTTCACCCCTAGTAATGCTCAGAAGACCTTGGTTTTCACTAATTCTGTGGATGAAACAGAAATGGTTTATAGAGTAAGTATTATTGTGAACATATAGATATGGAGGGCGTTTTTAAGTAACACAGTACAGCAAATTACAGCAACGCTGACTCCTGAGCAGAGATGAAAAATGTGGACTTCTGAGATCAGTAATTTCTTCTTGCCAGAGAAATAATTGGTTATAGATCAAAATACTTCCTTTAGAGTGCCACTTTAAAGTTGTGAACAAATTTCATATAACACTGTTTCATGAACTTTCATTTGGGACAATTAAAAGTTGTCGGGAAAAGGAACCTAAGGCAAACAAGGTGGGAGAGTTGAAACAAAAAAGGAAGAAAAGCTGAGCAGACCGGGAAGAAGCTTGTAACTATTGGAGAATACTTCTCTGCAAAACCTAAGGAGAACCCACAATTTTTAAGAAAAATAAGACCTTGAACATCAAAATTTGAGTGCTTAAAATGAATGAAGGTTGTCAATTTTGGCCTCAAGGTTCTTATCTGTTAAATGAGTAAACTAAAGTCAGTTTTACGTCACAAGGATGCTGTAAAATAAATCCATTAATGTTTGCATAGCATTTGGGGGCTGTGGTGATGAGGAAGTAATATATCTAGTATAGAGTTTACATAATATGTGGTAAATAAAGTCAGCTTATACCCTTACCACGCTCCCTGCCCCCCTCACCCCACTAATACACTATACAGTAAATGGCCTCAGTCTTGACAGGGCTTACCAGCCCCTTGTAGGGTTGGTGCCTGACCCCCTTGGTTTGTTACTAGTAAAACCCTTCTTTACTTATCCCACCACATTTTAGATTTCCTCTGATCATATTACCAGAATTACTGCTCTTCCTTCCCATTGACTAGGATTATTTCTGAAACCCAGCTTTGCCCCCATAGTACAGTAACACCACTCCTTCCAGGGAGCACTTGCTATATTTGCCTGATCACCTTTACCCTGCTCCCCCAAGTCCAGTGTTGATGGTTTCATTTCTCAGTAGAAACTTGTTTTTTCAACTGAATAATTGCCCACACCATAATTTTTTTTTCTCCCACAGTTGGTGTTCCCAGCTTGTGTATACCCCCTCCCCCCCCCCAATCAGGGCCCCATTCATCAAATATAATTAGAAAGCCTGTTGGCCAAGGAGTTGAAAGGCCAAAAAAGTAACATCTTTGGAACTTAAGTGCAAAATTCCTCCATGTGTCTTTGTATGTTCCAAAGCATTGTCAATGCTAAATTGACATAAACTATAAAATGAACATTTTAAGTTGATTATTTTCCATTCTTGAAGACATTTTAAGGTGTTTGTTTCTGCATTGTTTGCAGTGGATTTTTTCCTTTCTTTCTTGGGGCTGCCTGGAATCCTGACCTGCAGTTGGATATGCATGGCAGTTACTGACAAGATGTTCATGTGTCCAAGGATTTCTAAATTTCCCTGTTTCAGAATAATGTTTCTGTAAAAAAGCAAAGGTGCATATTAGCATCTTTGCTTGCTTACTTACTATAAAAGAACCTCAAAACCAACATGGGCACCACAGTTTGTATGTCCTTTAAGTTCCATAGAAACTGCTCCCATCTCTTGTCCATGTTTTTGGGATGGAGTACAGAACTTTAATGGACTCTAAGAACCCTTCACTTTTTCCAGGCTCGGTATTATTGGGCATGAGGAATTACCTTGTTTTCACTTCTGCCTTGACAGTCCTAAATTATTTTCTGGCAGGTAACTGCATCCATATGCAACTTAAACTTTACATTTCTCTCTGAACTGCCTCCCTCCTACTTCTTCCTAAAAGAAGGGAAGTAGTTATTAATGTTAGTCTGAAGTCACTGTAAGGTTCCAGAGTGTTTGAAGAGGAGAAAGTTAAGGAAAAATAATTTCTGCAACAGCCATTTTGATCCTTTTATTCATTGTCATCTGGAGGCACAAGGAAGAGGAGTATTGCAGCACATCTTTACTGATAATTTCCATATACCCAACCATTGCCCACCTTTTTTTTTTGAGAAAAGCCGAAGGAAATATTTGCAGTTGTAGAGGGAGGTTCATTTTACTGAAATGACTGAATGGGATCTATAATGCTTTACTTAGACTTATAAAATAGAAAAATAAAGTGAAAGTTAAAGAAATTGGAAACTGCCCTAAGCACTTTGGTGCCCCTATGCCACAAATGGTTAATTTTTCCTTTTGGTTTGTTCTAAGACTTAGATTCTTAGGACCTATTTCCTGTCATCCTGGAGGATTGCCCAACGCATGACACGCACCTTGTCACACTGAAACACAACTATTCCAGCCCAGCTGTGATGTGGTTGGTAGTTTCGCACACAACACTACTTGTAAAATAATTTTCTCTTGCCTTCAAGGTCCCCTTGGATCACAGTCCTGTCAAGGATCACAAATTACTGTAGTGGTATAATCTATACAGAAAAGGAGGCCCTGGGGCATTAGAACCCAAATGTCAGCAATGCAGATTCTTTGAGCAAGCACAGGCTGTCAAATATGCAGATAGGAACTGATGTAAATCCTTGTATATTAAGAAACTACAATATACTAGGATTACCAAAAGAAAAACTCCCTTTACTGCCTCAAAGGCAGTGGGGGAGATTCTCTGAACAACACTCTATTAATGCTTTCACTTATGCAGGCAAAATCCCCTTCTGTTATGTAAGCAAATATGTGGTTTCAAATACTTTTTCAGTCTCTGAAATGTATGGGCAATGCTGGCATAGTATAAAGAGCCTTTCTTTTATTTTAGAATCTAGTTTGGGATGGTGCAGTTAGAGGGCATGGCAAATAGGAAGAGTTTCTCATTACCCTAGTCCTGCTACTGGGTCAAGCAGACCAACTAGGTCAGGGGTGGGCAAAATATGGCCTGCGGGTCTATCCAGCCTGTTCGGCCCCTAAAAAAATTTAGAAAATTAATATTTATCTGTCTTTGGTTCCTGTCAAAAATGGGAAGCCTGTTAGGCTCCTGCAACAGCAGGGCCTGCCTAGCCACGGGTGCGCCTGCGCGCTGCCGGCCCCCCCACCCCCAACCGGAAGCTGCAGCAGGAGCTTCTGGCCTAGGACCATGTGGCTGCACCTATTCTGGAAACTCAGGTAAAGGGTGGGGGAAGGGCAGGGGAGGACTGCTGCAGGGGATGTCCTGAGCAGGCACAGGCAGCCCTATGTGGACTGCAAGTGGCTGCAGCACAGGGTGGCGGGCAAGGGGCTGCTTTTCCCATGCTCAGCACCAGCTTGTAACCTGCCCCCGCTGCCAGCCTGGGCCCCACGCCGGCTCTGGGCTTGTCTGTTGGGGCTGCGCACTTTGGCAGCATCTGTGGCCTCCCTGCTTGCCGCACCAGGCAGTGTTTGCTGCTGCTGCTGCCCATCTGTAGGTCACGTGCTGGGCACCCCAGAGGCGGCGGTGGCAGCAAACACTGCCCAGCGCGGCAAGTTGGGGGCGCCGCAGCTGCTGCCGCCGACTGGTGATCCCGGAGCTGACACAGGGCCCAGGCTGGCAGCAGGGCTGGGTTACAAGCCCCTTTTCTGCTCTGTGCCCAGCACCCCTCACTGCAGTCGCTTGCAGTCCACGTGGGGCTGCATGTGCCTGCTCAGGACATCCCCGCGCAGGCTGCGAGTGACTGCAGCAGGGAGCGCTGGCCACAGGGCAGGGGAGGGGCCGCTTTTCCCGGCACTCAGCACCAGCTTGTTCCCTGCCTCAGAGCAGGGGGTTGGAACTGCACATTGTCCCCTGCCTGTACCGCAGGGTTAGGGGGCACTGGGAGGGAGTGAGTGGGTACATGGGGCCCACACTGGTTCATAGATTCATAGATGTTGGGGTCGGAAGGGACCTCAATAGATCATCGAGTCCGACCCCCTGCATAGGCAG